ATAAATTAAACGCTTTTTTGCCAAAAAAAAATCAAGTCTACCCCTATATATTTTTTTATGTTTGTATAACTACGCATAACTTTTTACAGAAGTCAGATTCTGATGATTCTTTTTTTATTTGTCTGATTTAAATTTGAAAAAAAATTACCTCTAAGGGTAGAAAAATAGGGAATGATTACCTGTTTTAAACGCACGGTATTTTTAACATTATTTTAAGAAATATTGGGATTGCATTTTTTTTTTAGATCAAATAACAATTAAAACGGATATCATTATATATTTTGGACTTAATATAAATTGGTTCTACANAAATAACCGATTAATATTAATCAATCAATAATTTTTAGTTAAAATGCTCGGAGAAAATGATCATAATAACAGTTTTCAAAACGATACGTCCAAAGACGAATTTAAAACGGAAGATATCTTAGAATTGAGTAATATATCGGAAGAAAAAGGTAAGCTTTTCAAAATAAAAAATAGAAAAATTGAAAAAAAATATGTTATATATCACGCAGTTGTAAAATATATGGGGCAACGTTATCTAGAAAGGAAATTTTATACTTGGGCTGGCCAAACTTTGGTGGCTGTCCATCCCTTTGAAGAAAACAGCGGGTGCGAGGTTTGTGCAACATTAACCCTTATTAATATACCAGATAAATAAAAGTGATAAACTTATTAGAATTCCGAAAATGTGAGTGTGAAATTTTGATGTTTAAACATGTTTTCGTTAATTATTTTAAAAGTTGACTAATTCTTCCCCCCTACCAGTCACTATGAGCTCGAAATTGTTTCGACTTTTGTGAACAATTTGTTTAACCACTTTCTTTGTGTTAAGAATTGTTTGAAAAATTAAATTTAAAGGAATTGTTTGTAAATAGGTATGCAACACATCGTACACTTCAGCATAAGAAATTGCTGATACTAACGCACGTAATACTACTTTGCACTGTCCTGACAGCACTCATAATTGCTTTAATATACTAGAGATACTGTGTTTTGACGTCGAAGTTCACTTTCTTTGTGTTAAGAATTGTTCAAAAAATTAAATTTATAGGAATCGTTTGTAAATAGGTATGCAACACATCGTACACTTCACACAAGAAATTTCTGATACTAATTAGGTAATACTACTTTGCCCTGAGTTAACAGCACCAGGGGCGGCCTTTGGGGGTGGCGAGCAGGGCAACCGCCCGGGGCCTCGCTCTTGCAGAGGCCTCGCGCCTTCTTGCAGCAATCTAACTTTATTACGTAGTAATTGTACTTACTAATGCTTATTTGAATTTCTTAATAGTCTTAAAAAAGCTGCAAATATGCTGTCTTTTATTAAAATTTTCCAATTATTTATGAATAACTTTATTTATTATTTGTGAATAACTTTGAATTTGTCGTCAAGTATCATCATTAAAACTAATTCCATAAAGACGAGGGCCTCGGTAAGACTTCGGTAACTGTCTGTGTGTCAGTCAGTTAATTAATACAGTTGTAAAAGGTGCTTTTCCGCGTTTATTTTAAGCACGTTTTTACTTCTAGAATTTTACTACGATTTCGGGACAGCCTGTATCTGTATACATATATACAAGATGTCACATATTATGTTAGATTTCAAACAATACTTTTTACAACTATGTTGACAATAAATTGTAATTTATTTCTCTTCACAGAATGCTGACAGTAGAAAACCGTCAGTAAATGCAGTGATTTCGAGGGTCTGGTTCAGATTAACGAACGAAATCGGAAATGCTAACCAAGCGATTGTTATTTCCGGTGACAGCGGGTCCGGGAAAACGTTTTCCGCCTGCCTGGCGATTAAACACATTGCCGACAAGCAGAGTTACGCACAGGGGAATCCCTCGTGTTCTGTCTTGTGGCAAACGTGGTGTTCGGTACCATTACTAACAGCATTTGGTAAATACAGCAAATACGTTCCCCCCTCTCCTCTTAATTATTCATGATTTATCGTATTTTCACAGTTTAATTTGTCGAAATTTTTAATTAGAGAATATGACCAAAAAACTGTCAAAAAATCTTATTTTAAAGGGAATGCTGCTACTGGGTGCAATAACAATAGCTCTCGCTTTGGAAAATTGATGCAGTTACAATATGAAAACAATCAAATTGTAGGAGCGTTCATTCAAACATATATGTTGGAAAAATCACGCGTTTCGTTTCAGAATAAAGGCGAAGGAAATNTTAATAGTATAAAAATTTTTATTAATATTTTTATAATCTTCGTCGTGACTATTTTTTAACGTACCTATGTATAATGTATCATCATCATCATCATAAGGTCGTCAGTCCTAAGACTGGTTGAACACGTACCTCCACTCTTTCCTATCCTGAGCTAATCTTCGCATCTCCCTAAAACTAGAACAACCCACATCCTTAACTATCTGCGAACATTAATCTAATCTAGGTCTACCTCTACCCCTCCTAACTCCTGTTTCTGCCTCTAATATGTCTCTGACCAGACTTTCTCATGCCTAAGAAGGTGTCCTACCAACCTATCCCGCCTATTTTTTATTGACTTCCATAGAGTCCTCTGTTCTCCTATTTTTTCCAATACCTCTTCATCTCTAACCTTTTCTACCCACGATATCCTCATCATCTGCCTATAACACCACATTTCGAACGCTTCTAACCTTTTCTTTTCCGCCGCGCCTACTGCCCATGTTTCGCACCCGTACAATGCCGTGCTCCAAACATATACCTTTATATGTAACCAAAAATTTTATTGTAATTAACTTTGATTGTTTATTTTAATTTCTTAAATCCTAACAGATGTTGGAAAGTTTAGATGACGAAACTCTCAAAAGTCTTCACTTGGATAAAAATGTAGAATACAAAATAGTACCCAAACTAGCAAACTACTTAAAGTCCACTTACGACGATACTCTAGAAGCTATGGAAATATTAAAAATAAAAGAACTGAACGAAATACTCACTGTACTCGCTGTAATTTTGAACTTGGGGAATATCGAGTTTGAACCCTCCTTTGACTACTACACAGTATCGACAGGTATTAAATAATAAACGTATTTGGTGCTCTAATAATATTTTTAATTTATATTTACTATTGGTTTTTCCTTCTAATACGTTTGTTATTCAAAATTAATTTTATATTTTCTACACATATACATGTATAGGTAGTTTAGAATGACATGGACCATCAGGTGCGCGAGATGCGGGCCTTATCGCATTCATTAAACATTATTGAAACATGAAGTTATTTTCTACATTTCTAGCACTTATTTTTCGTATTACTTATATTAACCCATGATTCTGGTCCTCATCGATTCCCTTATATCGATCCCTTTCCTAAACTACTCCCTGACACCTGCTCCTGACTAATTTTTAAGCTATTCAAAGTCCTCTTATCTACCTTTCGTCCCTATTTCCAATACTTCTCCCTGATATTCCCCACTTCCAGCCTCCCTCATATTTTACTATCCCTTTTAACGCATCTACTCACATATCTCCTATCTTCTCTCTAATTACAAAGCCCACTTGATACAACATAAAACCTCTATCTCCTTCTTTTCCTCCTATTCCCATAGTTTCACCTCATAAAACACTATGCTCCTCACAATAACATTAAATAACATCAGTTTCCTATCCCAATTATCGTTCTATGATTCCTGACTTAATCCCAGTACTCTTCTTGTATTTGCCCATTCATATTGTACGTTCGGAAAACATTTTGTCTTTCCCTCTCTGTCTCTACAAATGTAGAAATCAATAAACGAGTAGAGTTTTCTCACTGGCCAAGGTTCATGTCATTCTAAATTACCTCTACCTCTCATTTAATTTCGTTCACGACAATATACACTAGTGGCAAGATGAGAGCCGAACATTACTTCCAACTATAGGCGTGGTTAAAAAAATAGATTCGACCTAAAAATGTGTATAACTTCTACGTTCGGTAAACATTTTACCTTATTTATACAAGAGCTCAAACTACATATATGTATTTCAAATAATTTTTAATCTAGTTAGGCCCCTCTATTTTTAACAGATACCACAGTGTTTGTAGAAAGGGCGACCGATTTGTTAAAAACACAGCCACGGCAATTAATACATTTGCTT